CATTTCTATGACCAAGGGCGGCGTAAGGCATGGACAACGTGGGCCACCGCCTATGCCTCGCGGTCTGAAGGGCCTCGCGCCTCGAATTACTTAAAAGCCGTGAACGCGACGAAAAAATTTTACTCGTCATAAAATGATAAATAGTTTGTCAAATTTTTATTCATAAGAATGCAGTTTCAACTGCTTTTTATTTTATAAAAATCCGTCTTCTTGCGCCACCAGAGGGCCTTTTAAACAATAGGTAGTCTGTTAGCGTTGGTCAGTAGTAGTCCAAATTCAATACGAGCGTTTGTTTCTTGAAAATTTGATCACGATTTAAATACAGTATTTACTTTTAATATTACCGACATGTCATCGAAAAAAACGTGTTGTGTTATCATTAAAAGACAAATTAAAGTATTTATTTCGATTATCCGGATTTTTCCTTATCCGGACTACCTTCATCCCCAATTAGTCCGGATAATCGAGATTCTACTGTACGTATAGTGTATTGGCGATCGGATTATAAAGAAAATTAATTTAGTTATGAAACATATCTAAATTAGTAAAATCACATACCGTATTTTTGTACAAATTGCCCTCATATATCTGTGTTTAAAATTCAATCTGAAAGAGCGAGTATTATGAGATGGGGTGATTATATTAGACTTATAGATTGCAATTATGATCTCATCCTTATGAAATAACGATCGCAACCATAGGCTAGGGTTGCTAAAGGTGTAAAAGTTTTATTTCTTTTCTAGTAATTTCCTTTCCTATAACACCCGGGAATTTCACTATATTAATTTCAGTTTCATTTTGTAAATTCCTACAAGTGCCTTGAAACGATGTGTTCAAGGTGTAGGTATTTTCGAGAATTTTTGTAATTCTAAGCATTGTGAAATTCCCAGCGGACCTATATCGCTAGGCATCTCCCGATATACGAGTTCCCCTATAGATTTCATTAAAGTAAAGTAAAATCAGAAAATTCATCTATAATTTCAGTATTTCGACTACTCTTTTGATAGAAATTTTAAACTTATAATTCTCATTTATATTAAATTTAATATGATCTGGAATTTAGAGGGATGCATTTTTGTTTTTACAGATGTAACTTCTCTGTAATCCCATTTACTTTCTTACTTTGGAGTTCAATTCAATCTTATTATATTTTCATGGTGTGGCATTAAAGAATATCTGAAATAATGAAATAATAAAGATTATTACTATTTAATTAGACGATTTATATATTGTCCAATATCTGGAAAATCCACTGTTTTGGCATTAGGCATGATGCCTCTTAACGTCTGGATTTATGCGAAAGATACCGAGGCCAGCAAATTGGTCATACCTTATCTTAATATGGCTTTATCCTTAATTATGATCACGTCTCCCGTCCTTTTTGGTATGCTTTTGAAATGGAAAGTTCCAAAAGTGTCTGAATACGTTACCAAGGTGAGATAGTTTCTCGTTAAATGTTTGTTACACATATAACATTTAATATAATGTTTTTGTTTGTGTTGATAGTGTGGTAGTGTATTAGGTTTGGTGCTTATTGCAGTGGTGTTTGTATTAGAAATGATATTATTTAGCTCTGCCCTTCTTCGTTTAACTTGGCAACACATTGTGACTTCTGCGCTTATGCCACTGGTTGGAATTCTGACAGGATTTTGTATAGCATTTCTTTTTAGAAGACCCATCGCAGTATGTAAAACGGTAGGAATTGAAAGTGGTATTCAAAATGTAGCTGTATCACTTAGTNAATTTCCTTTCCTATAACACCCGGGAATTTCACTATATTAATTTCAGTTTCATTTTGTAAATTCCTACAAGTGCCTTGAAACGATGTGTTCAAGGTGTAGGTATTTTCGAGAATTTTTGTAATTCTAAGCATTGTGAAATTCCCAGCGGACCTATATCGCTAGGCATCTCCCGATATACGAGTTCCCCTATAGATTTCATTAAAGTAAAGTAAAATCAGAAAATTCATCTATAATTTCAGTATTTCGACTACTCTTTTGATAGAAATTTTAAACTTATAATTCTCATTTATATTAAATTTAATATGATCTGGAATTTAGAGGGATGCATTTTTGTTTTTACAGATGTAACTTCTCTGTAATCCCATTTACTTTCTTACTTTGGAGTTCAATTCAATCTTATTATATTTTCATGGTGTGGCATTAAAGAATATCTGAAATAATGAAATAATAAAGATTATTACTATTTAATTAGACGATTTATATATTGTCCAATATCTGGAAAAATAAATTATATTTTTATAATAATAATTATTGTATTATTCGAATATTTTAAAAATAAATCTATATATTTGTAAATGAAGATGTTTGTTTATTTGTTTGTTTGCTATACACTCCTAGGCCGTTCGACCAATTGCTACAAAACTCAGCAGTTATATTCAAATACATCAAACTTAGGTAATGTAGTAATCCCACCTCAAAATGTATATTGAATTTCTATAAAACAATTAATTTTTATTTAAATTCGATTTTCTGAGTTACACGTAGGGCCATTTATTCCTGATTCCTGTCAGTCAGTGAGTTTTTAGAAAATCCCAGGGAGTTGCTACCGTGACTCCTGATATAAGACACTAGATTAGTGGATTAAATTTCGTCTGTTATTATTAAATACAGAACGTCCTCAATATATGTTATACTTAATTTCTTAAAACGCGTCGCGAACAAAATGGTGTATATCGGATAGCAATTTATCACCGAAATAATATATTATGTAAGAGATATGTATTGCAAACCAACTAAAACCAATTTATATGCAAGTGTCTAGTGTACAATAAGAAACTGTTTATATGCAAGTGTCGCTACTTTTATACTTTCAACACCTTGTATACTTTCAACACCTTGTATAAAAAAGTGACGGCCGGATGTTTGAGTGGTTAGGACTTCAGTCTACCTCTCTGAGATCGAATTTGGGTTGTTGAAGACCCCAGGACGATTTGTACCTGATGTGTCAAGACAGTCCGGCAGCCCAAATTGTGAATCTTCAGAAACCAAGCATGGGTAAGATCAATTAAAACGGTCCTCTCTTTGTGCTCTCCATAAACAAAACAAAACAAAAAATCACCAACTGCCATATTTCAAGTGTGATGAAATATACAATGAGCACGATCTTTAAAGACGAGGGACACAAAGAGCTTTTTTCGTCTTTCCTCGGCATCTTCTGTCTTCACCCAAGTGGGCCTTAAATAAGCGGTATACAGAAAGCCTTCTCTTCCTCTCGTACATTCCTGAAGTATAAGAGGTCTGTTGAAAAAATACGCGGACTCTCTGAATTGCGCGGCTCCAGTTTGTTCCAGGGGAATCAACTTGGTGTAGCTAGGTTTGTACAGATCGTCTGGTAATAAAGCCGTTTTCCGATTACAGATATCTTTACAGTCGACCCCCTATAACACGGGTTCCTATAGTTCGAATTCCTATATGACGGCGAAAAAATTGCATCCGTACAAACATGGTAAAAAAAACTATAATTCGGTAAAACGTCATCGGGCAGCCGAACTACTTTCCGCCGTCCAGCGCCACGCTACGGAGAGTTTAGTATCGTCTGTACAGTATGTAAATTAGGTACCGTAAGTCTAATTCAGCACTAATTTTATACATTTCTTGTGAAAGAAACATTTCTTATTCAACGGCGATAAAATTTATTTATATTAATGATGTCTCCAAAGTTCAACGAAGTTTTCGCAGAAAAATAACTTATCAGAAATCGCGCCCGCCGTTTGGTGCGCTGCTCTGCGACGTAAAAAAGCTAAAGCAATGGCGACGTCGAACGGTGCACACTCCGTAAGTAATCCTACAATTTTTTGTTTATAGCATAGTTTATACGGATTATTCCCAAAAAAATATACGTGTTTT